CTTCACAACCGCAAACACATACATTTTATCACAAACCTCATCGAAGAGCCGGAAATAGGAGATCCTCCATGTTTTCTTGAACAAAAGGGAGCAGAACGCCACCCAGAGGCCAACCGCAAAGCCCACGCTTAGCCCGAAACAGAAGGGCATCACCTCAGATCCTTCTTTGCTTGTCGTGAAGTGGCTCTCTGTTGTATGGTCTCCCGGGCAGCCCTTTCAAAGAGGAGGCCCGCAGAGGCCAGGGTTGCCAATGTACATGGATGCGGGGTCATCGGGGTTGAGTGTTTCGAGCTGGGGGCCCGACGGTATCCTTCCTGATAAGTCGTTGTAGGACAAGTTTAGATAGCTTAGTGATGTTAGATTGGATAGGCTTGAAGGGATTTTGCCAGAGAGCTGGTTGCTGGAGAGGTCAAGTGATTCTAGTGAGTGCATGGAGCCAATGCTCTCTGGGATCTTTCCGGTCAAGTGGTTCAAAGACAGATTCATGCTCACCAAACCCGCCGCGGGACCTATGCTTTTGGGGATTTCTCCAGTTAAATGATTGTAGGATAAATCAAGACTCACCATGTATATGTATAGACCAATATATTCACGCCCTTGCCCTTTTGTGATTACAAATATGCTATTGATGTCATCAATGACATAATAGTGTGATCCACCGTCAATTCCCATAGCGATGCCACGGGAAGGAGTGTCATTTGCTATAGCCATGCCACGGGAAGGACAAATGCTAATGTTGTGGTTTGGACTGCACCATCCATGTTTAGCAGGGACTGAGGTATAGTGCCTGAAAAGTTATTGTGTGCTAGGTCCAAATATTGGAGATATTGAAGTCCTCCAAGCTGGGTAGGTATATGGCCAGAAAACATGTTGGACCTGAGGCGCAGATATTTTAGTTGTGGTAATTCCTGTCCAATCCATGATGGTATGGTTCCAAAATTCTTATTTTGCCCAAGATCAATAAAAGTTAGTCCCGGGCAGTTCTGTAATAACAAAGGGAATTCATCCGAGAGGTTATTGTTGTCGAGCCTTAGAGTTCTAATACTGCAATATAGCATGTCAAAGCTTGAATCACTATCCGGAGAGGTTGTGTTAGGCGGGACCATTTCTGAACTTGATGCCACATTTTCTGAACATCGAGGGAACTGACCTGTTATCATGTTGTTTCCAATGTCAAGTAATCTCAAGGACCTCATTTGGCATAATGATGCTGGGATAGAGCCTGTGAAATGGTTGTCAAAAAGATACAAACTTCGTATTTGCATTGGCCAGCTGAAGCTGAAATTTAATGGCAGAGGCCCTGACAGAGAGTTTCTTGAGAGATCCAAACCTATTATATTATAAGGTACCTGCTGTACCGAACCAACGAATCGATTCGAGCTTAGGTCTAACCAAGAAGCATCCATCTGTCCAAGAGTAACTGGTAATGTGCCACTGATGTTATTGCTTGAGAGGTCCAAACCCTTAGCCTTTGAAAATACAGTCCAAAACCAATCAGGCATGGCATCAGCTATCCCGGCATGAGACATATACAAGAAGGAAACATTGTTCTGTGATTTGAGCCACTGAGGAAATCCTGGCCCAAGATGGCATGATGTCAATCCTAGTATCTGTAATTTGAATGGAGGGGTCCAGTCAGAGTTTACCTCCATGGTAAGGAAATTTGCAGATAATTGCAGATTCTGCAAGTCGGTAAGCTTGGAAAAGTGATCTTCAGTTATGAGCCCATCAATCTGATTGTAGGCTAGGTTCAGGTAAACTAGGTTGGAAAGTGTAGAATCAGGGGAGAGAGGGGTGGCGGCTGGGATAGAAAGATGGCCTGGTATTGTATTTTATTGGAGTTAGGGTTTCCTGTACAAGGGGGCAGCACATATATAGGCTGCAGGGTTACATGGGACACATGGGACACATGGGCCACATGGGCCATAAGCGCGCGCGCGCACACACACACACACTGAAATACAGATAAGACACAGCCCAACACTCCCCCTCAAGAGGGATGATAGATATCTATCATGCCCATCTTGTCACAAGCAAGATTGCTCTCCCTGGTTCCCAAACCTTTTGTCAGACAATCGGCGACTTGTTGTCCAGAGCTCACATGAGTTATCTTGATGATTCCTGCATCCAGTTTCTCTTTGATAAAGAATCTGTCTATCTCCACATGTTTTGTTCTATCATGTTGCACTGGATTATTAGCAATGCTGATTGCAGATTTGTTGTCACACCACACATTCAGAGGATCTTGTCTGAGCACTTTCAGCTCAAGCAGAAGGCCTCTTACCCATAACATCTCACTCAGCCCTTGAGACATTGCCCTATACTCAGCTTCTGCAGTTGATTTTGACACCACCGGTTGTTTTTTGCTTCTCCATGATACCAAATTTCCACCAACAAACACACAATAGCCAGAGGTTGATCGTCTATCATCAAGACAACTAGCCCAATCAGCATCGCTATAACCGTCAACATTCAAATGGCCATTACTCTTGAACCAGAGTCCCATACCAGGGCTGCCCTTTAGATACCTCATGATTCTATAGACTGCATCAAGGCGTCCACTTCTGGGGTCATGCATATATCTACTTACTACACTTACTGCATATGTAATATCTGGTCTAGTGTGACACAAGTACAGAAGTTTGCCAACCAATTGTTGATATTTTGCTTTGTTAACTTGTTCACCCATCTGTGCTGTCAATTTGTGATTTTGTTCAATGGGAGTTGGGGCTGCTCTACATCCAAGCATTCCCATATCACTTAGGAGCTCTAAGGTATACTTCCGCTGAGACAGGGCTATTCCCCTCTTTGATCTTGCAACTTCGATACCCAGGAAATATTTTAGCTGACCAAGATCCTTAACTTCAAATGCTTTGCCTAGGCATTTCTTTAGTCTTCCAATCTCCTCTTCATTGTCTCCCGTTATTATGATGTCATCCACATATACTGCAAGAATAGTAATCTGTTGCTTGGAATGTTTATAGAAAACAGTGTGATCTCCATTGCATTGTTTATACTCCATACTGCAAACTGCTTGCCTGAACCGGTCAAACCAAGCCCTTGGCGATTGCTTCAAACCATAGAGAGATTTTCTCAATCTACAAACCTTCCCAACAGTCCCAGGTGTAGAAAGTCCAGGAGGAATTTCCATGTAGACTTCCTCTTGTAGATCTCCATGTAAAAAGGCATTTTTTACATCAAGTTGGTGTAGTGGCCATCCAAAGTTAGCTGCACATGAGATTAGAATCCTCACTGTATTCATCTTTGCAACTGGGGCGAATGTTTCGTCATAATCAATACCATACGTTTGGCTGTACCCTCTGGCTACCAGTCTTGCCTTGTAACGCTCAACCTTACCCTCAGGATTCTGCTTCATTGTGAAGATCCACTTACAACTGACTGCCTTCTTCCCATATGGAAGATTCACTAGCTCCCATGTTTTGTTCTTTCTCAGGGCCTCTAACTCTTCCCTCATGGCTTCACACCACTTTGGATCTTGTATTGCTTCTTTCCAGTCTTTAGGAACAATCACGGCTTGAAGTGATGCGACAAATGCTCTAAATGAAGGTGATAGGGCTTCATAGGTGACATAATTACTGATGTCATGCTCAAGATTGCCCTTGCTCAAAGTTTTCCTTGCTACTTCCTTCTTGAGAGCAATTGGCAGGTTAGGTGATGCTTCTTCAGTACTTGAATTTTCATATGACTCCACTTCAGATGAGCTTCCTGTCGCTTGAGTTTCTTCTGACTGCTCCCCCTGTTCCATAGTTTCTTTTGACTGCTCCTCATGCACTTGTTCCTCCACAACTCTCTTCCTTCTTGTGTACACCTGAGGATTCCTTTCCTCATTTGGTCTCTGCCACCTCTGCTGTTCAGCCCCATCAACTACAACTGGAATGAAGGATCCCACTATTTTCGGGGTTGGTATTGGCTGCTCCTTGTCGCCATTGGTGCTGCACTCACCACTCAAGTTGCACTCCCCCTCTTGACCACCCTGCATAGATTGTGAGTGGTCAAGTTCTTCGAATAAAGTGCTGAGATATGTCTTCTCACCATAGAAAGGCTCAGATTCTCGAAAGGTGACATCCATACTTACAAATGTGCGCCTTTCAGCGGGACTCCAACACTTATAGCCTCGCTGCCCTGCAGGATATCCAACAAATATGCATTTTACAGCTCGTGGATCCAGCTTTCCCACTGCTGGTCTGTGATCTCTAACGAAGCAGGTGCACCCAAATAACTTCAGAGGAACTGAGAATTTGTTCTCCCCAAATAGCATCTCACATGGGGACTTCATACCAAGCATTTTTGAAGGCATCCGGTTGATCAGGAACGTTGCAGTCATGACAGCTTCACTCCACAAGAATTTTGGCACATTCATGGTGAACATAAGTGATCGAGCCACTTCTAAAATGTGTCGGTTTTTCCTTTCTGCAACACCATTCTGAGCAGGGGTATCTGGACATGATGTTTGGTGCATTATGCCTTGTGCTGACAGGAAACCTCCAAATTGCTTGTTTACATATTCAGTTCCATTGTCAGATCTGATCACCTACACCTGCACATTGAATTGGTTTCGCACATAGGCATAAAACTCCTGAAAACATTGGAATACCTCATCTTTATGTCGCATGAGGTACACCCAAGTCATGCGAGTGTGGCAGTCTATAAATGTCACAAAATATTTCATTCCACTAACAGAAACAACAGGACATGTCCACACATCAGAGTGAATCAGCATAAACGGGGATATACTCCTTAGCCCCTTATTCAAATATGAGATTCTTGTGTGCTTTGCATATTCACATGCATCACACACAAGCTTACTCTTGTCTACTCCACACATTACATCAGGAAACATCTTACTCATCTTATCAAAAGCCATATGCCCCATGCGACAGTGATGGATCATCGCCATTGTCTCACTTACTCCAACTAGTACAGCCAAAATAGGACTAGCACCAGACCTAGACACATCACGATCCATATACCACAATCCACTACGCCTGGTTCCTGTCCCAAGTTTCCTTCCAGTCATCCTCTCCTGAATCAAACATATTTTCTTATCAAGAGTTATTCGGCAATCTATCTGATCAATCAAAGCACTTAGAGAAAGCAAGTTCACAGGAAAAGCTGGAACATGTAATACATCATATAATTTAATAGTGGGTGTACATTGAACTGATCCAACTCCTTTAATCGGTTGTGAGGTGCCATCAGCAGTTTGTATTGTTTCACAATGTGTAATTGGGTACTGAGTATATGATTCAAACTCAGTTGAGGTACCCGCAACATGCTTGGATGCTCCAGAATCTAATATCCAATCTGGAAGGAAATCATGTGTGGATATAGATGCATTTGCAAAGTTACCTTCCCCTGTGTAGACAAAGTGGGCAAAGTTCCCGAAGGTGTTGTCCTCCTGGCTTCTACTCTTCGACTCCCCTTGAGAGGTTGTTGACGTCCCTTCTTCTTGCGTTGCCAACTTAGCCAAGTTTGCTTTGAAGCCACTGGAATAATTCGAACCCCTCGAGTTACCTCTGCCTCTAACTCCCCGGTATCCACCTCGGCTGTAACCTCTTCCCCTACCACGTATTTCTCTGCGTTGTGCTGTGCAATTGATGCTTATGTGACCTTTCTCTCCACAGTTGAAGCACTCTCTTGTCTCCTTCCATTCAGACACAGTAAATGCTGAGCGAGATGCATTCGCTTCTCCAGTCCTGGTCAACTTCAACCTGACCTCCTCCTGTGCCATTGCTGCAACTGCCTCCTCAAGCGAGGGGAGCTTTGGCTGATGAAACAACCCAGCACGCCTTCCTTCAAATTCTGAGCTAAGTCCCTTCAAGAATTTCATCACTCTCCTACGCTCTACCCACTTCTTAGTAGCAACGATACATTCTGAATGTGGTAACTCCAGTGGATCATAGTGGTCTAAGTCAGCCCACAAATGCTGCAATTCTGCTACATACTCCATCACCGACTTATCCCCTTGTTTTAGCTCATTTACTCTATCCTCAATCTGCGCCATAAGCATTATGTTCCCTTTCCCGGAGTACAATGTTTCCAGGGTTTTCCATACCTCTACTGCATGGGGAAGAGTCTCCACGGCTGCTGCAATGGATGGGGTCAAGGAGTTCAGCAGCCATGCCACCACCAGAGAGTCAATGACACTCCACTTCTTCCACTCTTCACTTGCCCTGTTCGCCGGTTCATCTACTTCCCCTCTGACATAGCCTTCCAGCCCCTTTGTCCTCAATATTAGCAATGCCCTTCTGGACCAGCTTAGGTAGTTTGTGACCCCTTCCATCTTGATTTCATTTGGCACCAGTTCTATTTTCTGTATCACCTCAGGCTGAGGAACAAGCGCACCTGGGGAAGCCACACCCTCTGCCTTGACAGTGATGAGCTCAGCTAGCTTCTCCAACGCCTTTACCAACCCCTGGTTGTCCCCCATCTTTCCAATCTTGAATCACACCACTAGCAACCTCCAGCAACCACTGCTCCCCACTTTCACCTCTCTACTACCTCCTCCCCTCAGATCTGGGATTCCACCTCTCCTTCTTCCACACAAGCCTTCTCCTCTCAGACAATCGCCAGCAAGCACAACCAGCCAACCACCATCACCACTGCTGGGATTGGGAACCCAAGCTCTGACACCATGTAGAATCAAGGGAGAGAGGGGTAGCGGCTGGGATAGAAAGATGGCCTGGTATTGTATTCTATTGGAGTTAGGGTTTCCTGTACAAGGGGGCAGCACATATATAGGCTGCAGGGTTACATGGGCCACATGGGACACATGGGCCACATGGGCCATAAGCGCGCGCGCGCACACACACACTGAAATACAGATAAGACACAGCCCAACAGAAAGCGTACCTATCCCAGCGGGTAGAGGTCCTGTAAGTTTGTTGAACCCAAGATCAAGAATGGTCAAGCTAGTCATGTGGCTGATCCAGTCTGGCAAGGAGCCAGTTATGTTATTGCCTTCCAGATTCAGCACCTGCAACTGACTCCATGAACATGTTGGTAACCTCTTGATGAACTCCACCACGTTCCCTTGAACACCATTCTCTGCCAGTTCAAATATTCTCAGGCTGCAAAGTGTATCTGGTATCATTCCCTTTAGATGGTTGCCACTCAGCTGAAGGACTTCAAGTGAACTCAAGTTTCCCAACTGTGCAGGAAACATGCCATATACACCGGTGTTCTTAAGGTTCAGATATTTGAGGTTGGGTGCATCCCAAACCCAACTAATAGTGTCGAACTGCATTGGAATTGCATTGTTAGAGATGTCGAGGATCTTGAGCTTGGTGAGGTTCGAGTGGGACACAAACTGGCTTGTGGTATTAAGCGAACACCACTGTAGCTTGAGGACCTCAAGAGAGGCCATCATGTTCACTGTGTCAACCAAGCTTATCACGGCACCGAGGTTCACATAGCTCATGTCAAGATACTTGAGCAAAGAGAGCTGTGGCAGCCATGAGAGATCATCTGAGTGTAAATCTTGAGAAGTCAGATCAAGGAATTGCAATTTCGAGAGGTTGCCAAGCTGGCGGGGCACCACGCCAGAAAAATTCACGTTTGAAAGGTTGAGGTACCGCAGGTCACGAAGAGACCCTACAAACTCCGGGAGGCGGCCTTGAGGCCCGGTGAGAAAAAAGTTACCGCCAAGGTCCAGGTGCTGCAGATGCTCCAGGTCTTTCAGAGAAGAGCTTATCTCACCTTCCAGAAGAGAGAAGTCGCCCCGTGCATGGAGCTCGAGCTCGATGACATGGCCGGTCATGTTGCTGCATCTGACGCCCTCCCAACGGCAGCAGTCCTGCCCCTGCCACGACGAGAGGAGGTGCTCCGGGTCGGCCGTGATGCCGGCCTTGATGGACAGCAGGGCTTCCCTTTCCCTTGCGATGCATCCTCCTCGATCATGCATCCGCCATGTATCTGGCTTGGACCACCCTGCTGTGGTTTCTGTGAGCAGGAGCAGGAAGACTGCAAGTGCAAGCATGGTGGGTTGCGATCTCAGAATCAGCTGCTGTTCTTCTTAGGTAAAAGTGTGGTTTGTTGTATACTTGGTATCGATGGTGTTCATACTGTAAGGTGAAACATATCTCATTGCTGTATTTTATTGTTACTGATATTAGAGTAGCAAATTGCATGTTCAGTCCACATCTGATAAGGGGACAGGTCTTATTGCGGTCAAGACAGGGTGTCCTGAATAGTTGCG